CAAGCCCAGTGGATTCAATGGCTTTGCACACACACCTTCCCCTTTCCTCTCAGGTCCCGCACATTGGACTTGTTCATCCCTCTCCCCAAACCCAGCTGCAGCTGGAGTTTAGCATCCTTGCCGAAATCACCTGAATTCGTTCCTCCTAAGAAAAGGCACCCCCAGCTCCTCCGCCTGCAGAAGACGTGCCAGGAGGATTACCCACCACTGGTGCCATCCCCCGCTGCGTCCCAGGGCCATGGCGGGCAGCGCTCAGGGACCCTGGGGATACTTGCCTAGCACAGGTATTTTGAAGTCTGCCTGCTAGTCATTTTTTCCCCTTCATTATACATCTACCTCCCAACTCTTTGTTGGGGTTGCCATGGAAGCAACACAGCTCCAGCCTGGAAGACAAGTACCTCTCGCCCCTGGGGACCGGTGCCGCTGCCAGTGCTCTGCCCTCGGCCATCACCAGCCTGTGGCTTCAGCCGAACACTGTGTAAATCCAATCCTACACGCAGCAGCAAAATCCAATACCATTGCACACGCACGGCAGATCTTTTCGGTTAATCTCTTCAATACACTATGGGCGGCAAGGACAGATGACAAACATCCAGCAAAGTGGAACCTATATCACCCTGTGGATATATACAGTATGTTAACATATGGAAATGAAGAGACGACCGTGCAGCTTCCAGTAACAGCCCTGCAATCAGGCCTGCAAGAGCAACGTGCTCAGGAAGGGATCCTTTGGGATGGCATCGCCTTCCCCATCAGGTTCAAGCTTCGGTAGGAATGTCCCACCCCCTCACCTCCAAAAAACAAACAAACAAAAAACTCAAAACAACCCCCCCCCCCAACCCCTGTGTAATCCCACCCTGACACAAAATCACACCCACACCCCATAGCTCCTGCTGGGCCATGGCGAGGCCACTTCTATACCTTCATTTTGCCTGTCATTTGGCCCCTGTCCCCCGTCCTTCTGTGGAAGGAAGGCAGGGCAAAAGAGGAGATGCTGGGTAATGCAGAGCCTGAAATTAAGCCTGGGAAGCAACATCAGGGAGAATTTAATTAATTTAACCCCAAGAAGCAGTAGTTAGCTTATACACTGCATCCTCACCACCCCAGACCACTCGTCCAACCCATCCTGGCTGTGCCTCTGCCGTGGGACGCTCTGCTTGCAGCGCCTCCCCGTCTGGGCTGGAGCCAGACATGTCCCCCCTGAAGCCCCATGGCGCAGACCACGTGCCCGCGCCGCTCAGGGAAGGCAGCTCAGTCCGGGAAGGGAGCACTGTCTGCCGCCTCCTCCTCCTCTGTCAGCCGGAAAAAAATGGGGTAGACTACTCCACTTTCCCCCACAAGGCATGACTGAGTCTCAAACGAACAAAGCTTCGACTTGGAGAACTTGCTCCGGAGATTTACGTTTCACCGGACATCAGATATTCCAATTGGTCTGTGGCCTGGTGTCCCCACTGCCCAACATCAGGACAAGCCCAGACCCAGACCAGCCCAAGAATGGGCCACTACTGCCACCCTCAGAAAGCAACACCTTATCCTCGACAGAAATAAAGCTACTTCAGTTTTGTTATGTTCCATAAAGGTTGTCCCTCTGACTTTTACTTCCTTCTTATTAATGTACTGGATTTGTGATATGCATCTGCATTTGCTGTGATATGTCTTCTAAAATATGCTCTGTGTGGCTCTCTAAATTTGGGAAAATTCACTCGTTTAATAAGCTCGTCTTTCACGGCCAGTGGCTGCTGCTGAATGGAGAGCAGCAATACCGACAGACCCGTTCATCACCACGGCACGCGGCAGAAGCAATGACAATACTTCATGTCAGAAGCTTGCCGTGTTCCCGAGCGATCTTAATCTCCACTGAAAGAGCTCTCTGTTTTTTATTTCCATATCAGCCTTCTGAATGTCGATAAAAAGAATTACTTGGGCATTATCAGAAACCGTTTTATTTCAACAAAGGGCTGATGAAAAATAAACAGGTCTTTATCTGCACGGCAGGACTGATAGAGTTCCCACAAACTCTAATTCAATCAGATCCTGGAAAAACAGCTACATAACATAGTGACACCAGCACACCTCTTCCCCACTGCTAAGGAGGTTTCCTTTGGGTGCCTCAATCAGCCCCAGCACTGGACAGAGACTTCTAAATATCTCCTGCACCAGCACTGTCAAACGGAAGGAAAGCAGCTTTTCCAACAGTTTTCTTCATTAGCCCGTAAGAAAGGCCCCAAAACTGAGACGAGTTAGCTGGTCTGAAAGGAAACTCAGTCTGCCTCTCTCGTAGGTGGTTACAGGGAGCCAGATGTGCAGGACAGCGGGAACGTGAGACTTGTTCCCTTTGCACAGCTGGGCGACCCTTGGAGCAAAATCACAGATTTAGCTTCTGCCCTCAGCCACCTGAAGTGATACAGCACACGATGATGAAGATTTAATTGTAAGGTTCTCCTAACTCAGGAAGAGTTTTGTACTGAGCTTTTCTTTTTGGAAGTTTGGACTGTTTTGGATGGCCAAATCGTTTTATTTCAAGGTTGTTTGCCGTTATTTGCCCCATGAGCCTGGCCCGTGCAGCTGCTCTGGCCGAGTCTCGGCTCCACGGTGAGCTCCGGGCTGAGACCCGCTCCTCTGAGTGCTTGTGTGCGTAGTCACGGGTTTGGCACGCTGTTGGCGTTTTTTTTTTTTATTTTTTCCTCCAGGCACTCCAGCAGCAAAAGGGGAAGTGTTGTGGGGCTTTTTTTTTTTTCTTTAAACAGATTATAAAACAGCTAAAGCCAAATGGAATTTCACGGGATGAAAAGGCATTGCTGAGCTTGACAGCTTTCTCCTCGCTGAATTCCAGGCCTGCTGCAAAGAACATGCTTTTTAAAAAGTTCTCACCAAAAAAAACCTCCCAAATAACAGAAGCCTGTGAAGTCCAAGCCCCCAAGTCTTCCCAATAATTCTGTGTAACAGAAAATCTTTGATAACAAAACAACATGCACAGAGCCCCATCAGCTTCGTTTCTGCCACAGGTGACGTGGAGGAATGCCTCTCCAGTTCCCATAGCCTGCTGACATGCTGGTATGTTGAGGCAGTGGCAAACAGCTGAAGCAATTTCTCTGGAAACCTTGTGGAGCTGCTAAAATACAGCCTGGATTATATGAAAACTAAAGAAAAGAACATTCTGCAGAAACTCTGTAGAGATATAGCGGTACAGGTCAGGGAACCGTTGTTAAAAAGGATGAAAAAAAATTTCTAGAAGCTGACACTAATTCACAGCTCTTTTTTTTAATATATATTTTTATACATATGGAGAGTTGGAGGTAGGGCAAGGTTTTGGCACACAGAGGATCAAACAGCATAGGCTTCATCTCTTCTCTGTGGCCTTCCAGCTGAACTGTGGATATTTGTTATTCCTGAAAAATCAGGCTCTAACAATCTTGTTCAGACCCAGAAAAATTTTAGAAGCCAAGATTAGCTTTCTTCTTATGACTGCTCCTTAAAAAAGAAGCAGACATTGCCACCTTCCCAGAACTTAAGGGAAAACACATATACCATGGAGCAAACCTGAGAAAAGGTTGGCACTGTTTTCTTCTGACTGAATACTTTTAGTTAGAGCCAGCTCTCCATCACCCGAAGCATGGGAGTCGGGGGCATTCTGCATAATGCAAATCCTAAATAATACCAGTGAAACGGGACGGGGTGGCGCAGGCACCAGTGCGGTGCTATGTCCCAACGAGCCCTGCCTGCCCTGGAGACCTGGCGAGCAGCTGTACCGAGGACTCATCAGGTCTGGCTCACGTGGCACTGAAGCACTCACAGCACTGCTAGCCTGCTGAGCCACGTTTGCCCAGCTCTGCCAGGCTGACCGAGCCCAGCAGGATCCACTTTCGGTCCCTGCAGACCCAGGCAGGTACCCACACATCTGCGATGAACTAAATGGGCAAGCCAGAGAAACCGTGCGTGGATAATTCAGAACCGACTGAATTTACAGGACTGTGAAGGAATAAATGCTACTCAGACTACATGACAACAGCCCAGTAGTTACGTTAAAGATAACTTTGCATTATTTATAGCCTAAATGTAAGCTGTCTGAGCCTTCCCTTCCACACTGCCATAATAAAAGCAGTATCTCAAATCACTGGGGTCAGATGCTCACACGAGCTGCAGGTTGCTGCTCCACAGATATCCATCAGCACAGCTGACCTCAGAATATAGCAGAGTAACTTTAATTAATTTTTCGTATTCCTTGTAATAAGAAGCAAGGCAGTGCCTGGAGCGCCCACTTGCAGTGCTTGCTCAGGGCCCTCACCAGCCCAGCTGCCGGAGGCGGTGGGCTCACCTACGCTCGTACTTCAGCTCTACCCCAGAACAGAGGCAGATTTAAACCCTATCCTCCGAGGTCTGGGAACGCTGAATAAATAACTGAGAGGCCACTGTCCTCCACAGACAACTGAAACAGCAAGATGAGGCAGGCAAGGATTTACCGGGAGGCAAAGCAGCTTTCACCCCTTCATCACTGCTAGGTGATCCTCTCTGAAACGGCTGAACAGCTCCAGTCCGTTCTGCTTCCCTTCCTCCTGCCCTCTCCTCTTCATTTCTCTGCAATGTCCCCACGAAACAGTAAATAATGCTAAAAGTAGGCAGGAAATATGAGTGCCCAGAATCACCCTCAACCAGCATTTAAGCCTCTATCTTCCTACCAAAGATCCCTTTTTCTTCCAACTGTTTTTGATGCATTTGTTTATTTTCATAGGACAGAATAATTTTCATGTGATTTTTATAACAATGACATCGTTAATGATCATCCAGAACAAAATCGTTTTCTATCATCAGTCTGCAAATCTTTTATGGCTAAATGGAGGAGCATTTTTCAGTGCAGGAACAGCCTTTTCAAAGCCACAAAGCCAAAAAAGATGCGTATAAAATAAGACTTTTTGTAATACAGGTGGTGGTGGTAAGAGCACAACACGGAGAAAGTGTTTATGTCAAAACCCAGTGATTTTAAAGAAAAGAAAGTAATTTACCCAGAGCTGATCATCCATTCCCGGTGGGTTCTTTTTAATAAAAGCACCATAATATGTAGCAATATTTCGGTGATGAGAATACTTCTTTAGCATATTAATTTCTTGTTTGATCTCCTCCTCTTCATCCTGGGATGAGGGGAAAAACAAAGCAAAACAACATCAGTCACACTAAGAGACCACACTTCACCCACACAGCCTTCTCTTCGTCACGTTAGTTAACTTCCACACACTCCATTTCTGGCTGTCCTCACCTAAGTGTCCTTGGGCCATTTATTTACAGCCACTTTTTACAGTGTGCAACTCACACCGGAGCCTTGGGAGCTTGAGGTTCAGACTGGAGTTGAACAGGTTAAAAACGTGTCCTTGCGCAAAAAGCTAAGAATAGCAGGATCAGAGAAAACACATGCTTTGCCACATCCCCTATCGCATTTCTGAGCCCTGAACTGGAAGGATCATCAGGCAATTCAGAAACCAGTCGGTTTCCAAACGATTCAGATCACGGCACCTCTTCCAACGCAGGATCCCAAATGCAAGGAGAAAGTTTAAGGGAGGACATGCAGCCATTTCACACTGGTGAATAACCAGCCATCCCAGTGCACTGCTTAAAGCCACCAGGTACGAAGGGGAGTGAAGAGCCCAGAGAAGCTCCTGAGCAGCCACGCACCTCCATATGATAAATACCTGTCTGGGGGGGAGGGCAAAGGTACCGATTCGCAGGACAGGCAGTGAAGCTGGGTTTGGCCCAAAAATAAGCCCTTGCATGGAGCCCTGTTCTAAATCCAGGGGGGCACCAATGTGAAAGACTTTGGCATTTATTTCCAAACAGGAGATGCACAGACAGACTACGTGCTTTGAGCAGCTCAGCCATTCCTCCACCTTTTTAATTTTATAATTCCTCTCTGTACCACGTTGTTACGAAGCTTAACCATACTTGCATTGCTCCAGTAACGCATCAGCTCTGCTGCACATCCTTCTACACCCATCGGTGGCCCAACTGGATGGTTTTCTAGAAAACACTGCACCAGCCTTCTGCAAGCCAGCTCCCTCTCCAAGGGTGTGACACACTGCTCCTACCCACCTCGGTAAGGCAGGAGGCAAGCACAAGGCCCGCGCCGACATCAGACGTTATTAGTGTCACTGTACGGTTTTTTGTTCCCAGGCTAGGTAGGTGGAAAGCTCATGGACGAGGCTAACGTGGACTTTGCTCTGGTGCAAGAGCACATCTCGGGGAAGACTGAAGTGAGCAGCCTTTGGCAGCATGTATAATTGGCGACAGCACCATGTGGAGAGCAGGCAGCCACTGCCCGGCCAAGAGGCAACGAATATTCTCTTCTAGACTAATTCAGTCCTGATGCAATATCATTGATTCCTGTGGGCTTCAGCACTTTCACAGCCCCTCTCCATTTGGTTTGCAAAGCCACAATAGTCGAAGCAGCCTAGGCAGGAGAACTGCACTGACAACTGTTTCGAAGTACCATCTCTTTGCTTTCAGGATGATCAAACATGCCTTGATTTTATTTTAAGCTGACAGAATTCCAGCCCACTGGAATTGCATGGACTGTGCTGCAGGCAACAGCAGTTAGCACCTTGATGTTGATTAGCTTTATAATAAAAGGAACCAGAAGGACTGCTATTTCTTTCCTTCTCTATTACCCTTACTTCCCCCACCAGCTTGATCCTGAGTTCTGTTTTACAAACCACCAATGACAAGACACCCCGGTGATCAGCTGAACTGCATTATGCAGCTCTTTTTGAGATCAGTATTTCCTGACCAGATATCACACAACACATGGAGAAAAACATCGATTTCTTTCCAAGCTCCTATAAAAAATGATTAAATAATCATAGTCTTTAAGAGAGAATTCATGGAGGAACACTGAAGATGAGGACTAGAAGAACAAATAGAAGAACTAGCTAGGTGGAGCTCCAAAGTCATCTTCAGTAAGAACATGGAGGGCATAAACAACAAAGAGGGTAAGGAATGGGCCTAAAGCTTTTAAGAAAAACCTGTGGACAATCCTGAAAGACCTTCTCCACCTTCTTCTTTCTAATGCTCAACACAACTTTGCTTGGCTTCAAGTGCCTGCAGGACCAGGGAATAAAACACTTAGTTTATCAGAACTCCAGTGAGATGAAGGAGGACCGTCGCAACCGGACTGGGCCCGTCTAGCTCACAAAGAAATCTGACCCCGCAGTCAACCACCAACCGATCCAGATGAATATTTCACAGGGCAGATGTGAGTATGCTCTACGTGTTCATGTGTTATCAAGGCATGGAGAGACCATGCTGGTATACCTCAAAAACTGGACCTCTCTAGGTCCCTCTGGGAAGGATGTCAAAGGGGATGGGGTCAGACTCTTCTCAGTGGTGGCCAAGAGGCAACAGGCACAAACTGAAGCACAGGCAGTTCCATCTGAACAAAAGGAAAAAATTCTTTACTGTGAGGGAGACTGAGCATTGGACCAGGTTGCCCAGAGAGGTTGTGGAGTCTCAATCCTTGGAGATACTCAAAAGCCGTCTGGGGTTCCTGGGCAACATGCTCTAGGTGACCCTGCCTGAGCTGGGGGGTTGGACTAGATGATCTCCTCCAGAGGTCCCTTCTAACCTCAACTGTTCTGTGATTCTGGGGTGGGCCCCAGAGCAATTCTTGGGGCGGCTCTGGGGGTGCTGCAGGGTGGCTCTAGAAGCAGCCCAAGAAGCAATTTCGGGGATGATTCTAGTGGTGGCTGTAGAATGTGGTTCTAGGTTTGGCTCTAGACTTGACTTTGAAAACAATGTCTACAAAATACAGTCAGTACTCTAACCACGCTGTGAGTCTGCTCCATTTTTGCTGTAATCACTGCCAGTCCTGCTCAAGTTTGGGCCAGCTCTCTGAGCGCTTCAGCTTTCTATCAGCGACTATGGGGGTGTTGGCTTCCGTTCACAGGCCTCGGAGGTCTTATCTCTGCAATTCTGCTGATACTGCTATCGCCTGTCACTTAGCTGTATCTACACTCACACAATATTGAGGTTGCTTGAGGGTGGGAAAAAAACATATGGGGGTATTCAATAGGATAAGAAGCAGCAGAATGGAGCAGAAGTTCAGTTAAGGTCTTGACTCTTTTTTTTTTTTTTTTTTTTTAAGAATTGACTTTAAAGCTTGCACACTACATATTAAAAGAAAATTAACCAGTGTGTTTTAATATGGGTAAAAGCAGCTCGAGAGGAAAATAATTAAATATCCAAACAGTAAATCCCCTGCCAAATATTTGATTTAATAACTTGAATGTTCATATCAGCCAAACAGAGAGAGGCAGGAAGCAGCATTACTGCTCTTCTTAATTAAATACATTTCACCTGCGTGATAGCTACAGCAGAGTTATTACAGAGGATTCATATTTGAAATCTTATTTTGGAAGGTAGTGGTTTAGATCAGAGATACCGCCTTAAAGACATGGCTGCAGATATCAATTATTAGGCAGGATCAGATTTGGGCTGCTTTTCTCCAACATCTTCACTTGGAAGTGACAATATTTTAAAACCACCGAACTAAATGTTAATTCAAATTTAGCCCCTCTTTGGTCTCCAAGTAATATTCTGATTTCTCCGCTTAAATTTGTTCTAACCTCAGACTTTACCTCATGGGATCCTCAGCACCATTCATGCCATGGAGTTATGTTCAGTGGATCTGCTCATTTTATAACCTGCTGCTTATGAAAACTAGATGAATGGCATTTGCTGATTTTGCAAGAAAACAGAAACAAATCTCACTCACATTTACTTGGTAATTTCCACACATCATTTCCCCTATTAATACAAAAAAGAACCTGGATAGTGGTCCTGTAGATATATATAACATCTACAGTACTTCAAAACATACTCAGGGGCCTAGTGATTGCTTTCATACCTAGGCAATTCTGTACGTGCTGAATTCCTGAAAACTAAATAAAAACATTAATTCAGAAATAAGGTGGGTATATTGGGATTAAGTCCTAAAATTTGAAATGTGTTATTTTACTTAAAAAAAAAATTATTGCTTCAAAACCTGGCATTGTTTATGCAGGCAGGAACTTTGGGAGGCATAACATTGGATTTAAAAGCTCTTACTCAAGGAAAAAGCATTTTCCTGTGATCTTTCCATATGCATCTGTTCAGGTTTCTAGAGGTCATAACAATTCTACTCATTTTTTTCTTCTGCAGCCGCTGGGAAATGGCAAAACCATTATTTCCCCTAAATCCTGTTATTCATTTAGTAACTTGTAAATTCTTTGGTTTGTCAGTCTGATGCAAGTTTCAAAAGAGCCATGTCTGTGAGACTAAGGCAGTGTGTTTTCACCTTTGTACTGGTAGGATGCACAGGAGTAATTTAACTTACATAGTGAGGTTATTGGTAACGATACCTGTACACAGTTCTGGTGAACAAAAGCTTTCCAGGGGAAAATACAGATCTGAAGAATGAAATGTTTTATGAACACATGATTGAGTTGCTACACCTTTCTTTAGAATTAATTAATCTGTTCAAAACAGCCATGCTGCTGGAATGGGGTGCTTCATTGTTTCAGCTAAAATTACTTAATCTCAGAATTCTTCCAGATTTGTTTTTCACTCAAACGTTTGTTAAAAACACTAACTCTTAATGGCATATTTCAAATTAACTGAAAGAGTATTTGCTTCCCAGGAATACAAGCCTTTCACAAACCCTCATATCTTTTTGCATGCAGTGTTCTTTCCCCTATTATCTAGTAACTTAAACATGCAGAAGGAGAAGGAGGAGGCGGATACATTACCCCGGTGACGTCCATAACCTTAATAGCAGCAAGCTGTCCTGTTTTAACATGACGACCCTGCAAAAGAAGAACGGAGAAGTTTGTTCATTTTGCTTATCTAGCAATGTTTTGCTCAAAGCGAACAATATCCTTAAACAATCTCCTTGCTTTGGCAGCCCTCGCACATTTTTTGGTTTTTCAGGAGCATCTTCACAGCAGCCACGATGGGAAACCAATTCCCTTCCCTCCCTCCTGCCATCGCAATCAATTAGTGAGGGGCCTTTGACGCTTGCCCTGTTTTCCTGGCAAATGAGCGCTGGAAACGTCCTTTAATACTCAGCCACGCTGCCTGTCAAACAACAGCTCCAGGCCGCTCCTGAGCAAGGACCGTGACTTGGCTGTAAACAGTCTGCTGGATCTGTGATTATGGAAATACGCTCACCAAAGCAGACATACTTCTATGCACTAACTTCATTCCCTTCGTCTCTTGAAGCATGGCTGCACCCCGGCGCTCGTGGCTCCTGGGGACACACTACAGCACCCGCAGAGGCAGCCGCACAAGGGACAGGGGTCGCGTGCAAAGACAGCACAAGCCTAAAAGAAACACCCTGAAGACATCCACGCAGAAACAATCAGGACTAGAAAAATCCCATCGAATTTTCTTTTAGCCACCAGCCAAAATTAACTGTGCAACTGGGCAGATGAGCAACTAACACAGCTCAGAGACCCCGACCAGAGATCCCGAGTAACGCCAGGTACGTAGAGCCTCGCAAACCTCCTTCAAGGAAGGCACCAACGCACACTGTGCTCATTGACTTTTTTTTTGCCAAAGCTTAGATTAGCAGGCTAAAGAAGTCTTTAAAATCAGATTTGCGTTTTTGCTATTTAAATGATATCCACATTCAGCGCAGGCACAAATGGCAAGCATTCACTTACGTGAGATGCTCGGAAAGCCAGCCCAGCAACAGAAGCTCCCTTGTGCTGCAACGCATGGCAATGTGGATACATACTGGCTCTTTAGTTTTCAGCAACTGAAAAATTAGCAAAGCACTGCAAGAAACTGCCTGTTGGGTAGCGCTCAACTGCATTAATGCTAATAGAAAAATGACTGGAAGTGATGGGGAAAACTACAAAAGAGCATGAATTGTTGATGGTCTCTTAAAAACAAGAAAACTGCTATCAAGCAAGCAACAATTAGGAGCTGTTATGGTCAGAACTACTGGCAGATAACGTCATTACAGTTCAGAAACAATCCCTACTGGCAATGAAACAGAAAAGCTGAAGTTTAAAGAGGAGAATATGAAAGGACTCATTTTGCTGAGCTTTACGGCCTGCGAGGCGCAGTCGCTGCATGGCTGGGTCATATGCAAACCGCTCACTTTCTCATTATGCTCTACAGCACAATCTATTTCTGCACCTTAATAAAGCGCTTTTGCATTTCGCTCTGGGCTGACTTCCAGCCTTTCTTCCTCTCCCCAAAAATGAATCACACAACTTTATATCAAAATTGCTCCTGTCAAACAATCCTTGCTCCCTCGGTTTGAGAGCACACACTCAGCTTAGAAACCAGGAGGAATCAGAAGAAAAGATGCTGCTTCCCCAAGAAAACGTGGAAATATGGATTTCTGCAAGAACACCAGGAGGCAATGGGAAGTGTCCTTATTTTCCCAGTCATTTCTTACTGCAGGAGCATCCTAAGGCCCCATCGCACAAGCCACGAGACAGAGGACAGCAAATGGCAGCTCTCGCCCTGCAGAGTTTGTAATTAGAGGACGAAGGACAAGACGAGGAGCAGAGGTCGAGGCGGCACGTCACCGAGTCAGACAGCAGCGGAGCTAGGGTAAGAATACACATTCCCCAAATTGCAACCCTGCACGAGGCTCCCCTGACTACGCTGTCCCTCACCAGAGCTGGTCCTCCACAGGTCAGGTCCAAGCAAGATTCAGAGGCAGATCTACATCCCCCCAGTTTGCAGCTGAGCATCTCAGCTCCTCAAGGAGCTTATTTGCTCTTTCTCTCCAAGACCCCTCTGGGAGAGAGGCATGACATTGGGGGAAACATGAATACAGATGGGATTTGGCTTTAGGAGCTGCGTCCCCATCAGCCATCGCGTCCATACAGGGTGCAAGCAGCTGGAGCGCTTTGCCCCTGCAGAAGACCATCACAGGGCAAGCACTCGGCCTTTGTCCAGCAGCAAGTTCTGCAAATTGCACAAGCAAAACCGTCACGGGAGAGAGGTCCAGCATCCCCGGCGAACGGCATGGCCCGGCACATGCTTGGGTGCACATGCGAGGAGAAACTGGAGCAAATGGGCAAGCGGGCACTGACAAGCCAGGCGAAGCACTCCCAGCAGAAACGAAGCCAAATCATCTGTCCTAACGGGATTTGGGGGAAAAGGAGGGAGGCGGAGCAAACATGGGGAACGAATGTTAATATGTGGATTTAAAATCAATGATCTAAGTTCCCCTTGCTATTAGACTGGAGCTATTCCTAATTTGCAATGATACAGTGACAAAATTTGCTGCTTGCAAGGTGCTTCTTTAGGAGATGTGCTTTATGGTGAAGTTTTCTGGGCCCCTCCTGCAGGTCAGAGAAGATCCTTCACAGTGTCTTGCCTCTAGCAGGAACCCAGCACTGCCAGACACCGGCACTGCTTCCCCAACCCTTAGGATTTACAGGTACAAAAGCAGCGGCAGCTGGGCTCCAGGCTGCTGCAGGGCAAATCCGGCGCCGGCTGCAGAGCTGGCGGGGAGCACCACGCGGCATTCATGCTCTCCAAAGTTATCCCTTCAACAGGAAGCCAATTCACCCACCAGGGCTCCTCACTCATTTAATAACACTATTTATAAGTCCTGAGCACCGCATGGTCTAACAACGGAGAAGGAGCTTTGTTTTAAGCAGTGTAACATAAAGAAAAAAAAAAAGAGAGCTTGAATGAGGTTAAACGGAGGGTGACAACGAGCAAGCAGAGAGGGAAGAAATTCAGTGTTTCAAGCAATGTATTTGCTACCCAGCTTCATTCTGGATATCAACACCTCACTTTCCTGCCTCGTGTTTCTATCGTCTGTACTTTAAAAGAGATACTACTGATGATATAAAGCACCACAGTTTAAAGGGAATAGCTCCCGTGTAATGGCCAGTTAATTTTATGTGCTACTTTTTAAGGGGATCTAAGTAGCAAGAAAAAAGGGATATTAGCATTACCATCATGTAGCTCATAAAAATGGTCCCAGCATCTCTTCAAATACATTGTGCGAGCATACATTATCCCTATGCAGCAATTTATAAGTCAATGTTAAGGCCCACGGCTCTTAAATTCAGGATTGGATTCAAACGTTCTTGCTCTGTGCTGCAGAGTTTTAAAAGCGTCTATTTGAGCAAAATAAAGAAAAAAATTCCATATAAGGATTTGTTAGTTTAAGGATTCCCTTGTTTCAGATTTTAAAATCACAGCCACCTCACATCTTTGCACAAAAAGGTTTCATGACAACTGCCTACATTACTTTTTGTTCCCACTTAACCTGCTTATGCTCTGCTGCTTGTGTAAACTACGCTGCAGTGAAAAGAAGCAGCCTCCTGACAGCAGGACCTGGTGCTCTGAAAATCACAATGTAATTTGAAATACTAGGGCCATGCTTTCACAAGCAAGTTCTTCTCTGGATTTTCTCCTTCCAGAGGGAAGCTCCTTGCCCGCGCTGTGTGTGTGGCCCCAGGCCCTTGCGCGGGTGCATCGGACAGAGGGACGCAGGCGCAGGAACAAGGGGGCTGGAGAGGGGACGCGGCCCCTGGCCACAGCACAACTGGTACCAAACCTCTCAGCAGAGCCCTGGGTTTCCGGGGTGGAAACAGCCACGATGCCGACTGCACCTACAGCCTGCCCTCAACATTTACATGACACACAGAACAACACCTTTCCTAGCGGGACATTTGCAAGGCCATAGGTTTACGGCTGAAACTGAAGGTGAATCCCAAAGTAAAGGTGGGACAGCATTTACGGGATCTTACATGGTGAGTTTAAGCATTAAAAAGGATCTGAATTTACGTAAGCAAACAGAACCTACTTGCTGATCTGGCCCAACTCTAGGCAAGCTAACCAGGGGGACCTCCCTGGGCTGCGGGATGTGCAAGTTTCCCCTTCAGTGCCTCTCCCTGGGCTTCTCTGCTCAGAGCACAACCGCCGGCATGAGATAGCAGCTCCCCCGGCAGAAACCCCAACACCTTGCGCGCCCACACCGTGTTTCACCCAGGGATCTCACCCTGGCTCTTCTAAACGTTAATTAACTCAGCTTTGCAAGCAGTCCTGCAGGAGGAGAAGGTGTCATCATTCTCGTTTCACAGACTGGTAAATGCTGAAGCTGTGAAGTCGTGAGGTTCGAACACGCAAGGTCATGCAGCAAGTCAACGGAAGCGCTAAGAATAGACACGGGATGCCCTGACTCCCAGCCCTGTTCCTTTACCACTATCCCATAAACCTTGTAAATATTTACAGATGTAGGTAAGAACTTAATATTGTGCAAATGTTTACCAAAACAAAATAAAATGCTTTGAAACTTATGTTAATGTAAACCATGAGGGACACTTAGTCAGGCAAAAATCAGGCAAAGTAGAGCTCATAAGTATTTAGACTGGGAACTTCTAACACAGACCTGCTTTTCATATATTTTGTTTGCAGCGATGGATTATTTAGCCACATCCCTGCAGATTTTCACCCCAGTTTAGGGAGTCAGTGAAACTGCATTTCTCATTCCAGCTGTAAACGCTGATGTTAACTCTGTAATGACACAGCAGGGACATGATCAGACTACATGGCCGAAACCTCGGCTCCATTTCTACCTTCACCTGCTGCGCTCTTCATGGCCTGATCCTTATGTCCCTTAATTATAAATAAACTTTGCTTTTTAATGTGAGATACCTAATGCTCAGCATTAATACTCCCAATGAAACTATCAAATACAGCAATGTGTTTAGAAAACAGTTGATTTTCTTCGAAATGTAGGTATTCTTGCTTTTATAATACAGATACAAAAAGCATAGACAGGTTAGAGAGAGATGACAAAAACTGAAAGCGATAGATACAA